CCACGCGCAGTTCAAGTCCTGGTACAAGTTCTTCTCTTCGTGGCGCGAGCGAGAAAACGCCCGTCGCAAGGCAGACGGGTTTGACCATGACGTTGCGAGAGTTCAGGCCGACGACTTCTTTTAGCGTCGGGTGCCAGCGGGGTAGATGTTGACGCGTCTGTCCGCGGTGGATTTAGCATGCCGGCGGAGGCGAGTCGCCGTTTTGGGCGCGAAGGGCAGCGCCGACAAGTGCGCGGCGCGCATTCTGAAGTACTTCGGGGACCAGCTCGTTGACGAGAAGATCATTTGAAGGACCTGTCCAGGAAATTTGACTGCCGACCTGGCCAGAGCGGCCTGCCACGGTCGCGACGGCTGGACGCACGAGTCTAGCCCCAAGGAGAGCAAGGGCAGCCTCGGCCCCGTCGAGCGCACCTACCAGGACGTCAAAGGTCTGACGAGGACTATACTTCTGGACGTCGAGAGCAGGTGCGGAGTTGAGCTACCAGCCGAGTTCCCTCTCATCGAGTGGATTGTTCGGCATGCTGCTTGGCTGATAGACAGTTTCTGGATCGCCCCTGGTTCTGGAGTCACGCCGTTCGAACTCCAGCATGAAAGACAGCATCGCCGTCCCATGGTTCCATTCGCAGAGACAGTCATGCGGAAGGAGCTGGGACCTCACGACTTCAAGTTACGTGAGAAGTTCGGTCAGTGCATCAGGGACTGCAGGAGCGAGGCCACCAACTCCCATCATATTCTCACGAAGCATGGAGCTTTCGAGGCTCGGACCATCCGACGCCTGCCGCCGAGCGAACGCCACGATGTTCAATTGCTATGGGCATCGGGGGGGTCCTCAGCATGATTCGACTGCCCGACGCAGTAGCCGCCAGGCCGCTACCCGTTGCAGAGGTACTCGGCCAGTCAGCCGCTCCACAAGCACCCGCAGCACCGGGTCAAGCTCGACTAGATTAACAAGTGCAACCAGCCCATCCAGCCAGCATCCGTTATTCCGGCGAGTTGGATAAGTCAGCCTGGAGGCCAAGCGAAGGACGCGGTCGTGGAAGAGCCGCGACAAGGGGCCACGGCGGACAGAGACAGTTGATCCCCTGGAGCAGCCGCCAGACAGAACTAGAGGCATTCCAGTCACCCCTGGCTGCTCAGGATGTATCGGCACGTCTTACAAGCAAAGCAAGCTCTGCAAGGTCGGGAAGAAGGATTTCTGCGAGCACATGGAGATCTATGTGCTGACAACGAAGGCCCAGCGCGACGAGACGGGAGAACTGCTCCGCAGCATCGAACGAGCAGAGAAGGCGTCAAAGTTTCAGACGGGAGCCACCGCAGCAGCGGCAAGCTATGTTTCGCGGTCAAGTTCATCGACCGACCGGCCGCAGCCGCCGTCCAGTGACGCTGGCGCCATAGACGCAAGGCGCATGTGCAAATCGGAGGCGAATGGGATTTCCGACGCGATCCGTCACCCCGACAACTAACTTCACGAAGGATTTCATCCAGGTCTTCACCAAGTACCACACCACGCGTCATGTCAACGACGAGGGGCATCTCATTCAGGATTTGTTGCACAACCCGAACAAGGTCAATGTCGGAGACCACGTCGACTACGATGAGGTCGACGGCGAGGCTCTGGATCCAGGCCAGGTCAAAGAGGGTATCTAAAGGAAGCTCGGCATGATGCGCGACCTGGACGTCGGCGAACCCGTCAGAGGCGACGAGATATCCAAGTGCGCGAAGATATGGACGACGCACTGGTTCCACCGCAAGAAAGGTGGTGGAGGTCGAGCGCGACTTGTTGTCCGCCAAATGCAACTGGGTCGCAATCAAGTCCGACAAGATCTTCGCCTCTTCGCCCGGCGTCGGCTTTTCGTTGCCGCCGGGCTAGTTGAGGGCGCCGACATCATAGCAGGTGATTTCTCTGCCTCGTTCATGCGTACTGAGTTGGATGAGGATGTCCACATATGGCCGCCACTGGAGATGGGAGTGCCAGAAGGCACGGCACCGTGCTTGAAACAGGCGCCCAACGGATTTCAGAAGGCCAACCAACTGTTCAGCTAGAGTGCGCAGCAGAACAAAAACCCGTCATCCTGCTCAACGAGAGGAGCTGCGTCAAGGCGACAATCCACGTGGACGATCCGTTCGACATCGGCCAGGAGAAGCAGGTGTTCTCCCTCTTCGACGAGTTGGGGAAGTGCTTGAAGTTCAGAGCCGGTGTCAAATTTAGACCCGAGGTTCCAGGCGTTGTCTTGGGATGCCCGTATCTTCGCTTTGGAGATGCTGTCCTCGAGATGCCGAAGAAGAGCTACTTCGAGAATACCCTGAAGGCCATGGTCATGTAGAGGTTCGTCCAGATCACCACGCCATTGTCCAAGGAGTGGTTCGGCACGCAGGCCCTGGAGACCCAGGGCATCGCGCCCCTGGATTGAGAAGGGCATCGCGAGCCCCGACAGGGCGTCGGGAAACTACAATACGGAGTTGACAAGAGGTTCGGGAAGCTTCGCTGGCGACGTCTTCACGCGCTGCGAGCAATGGACATGCGACGGCCCAATCGCGCATTGAGGCACGCGGCGAGCATTCTAGACTACGCGTTCACGCTGAGCATCAAGGACACAAGCGACTTCAAGCGACTCCGTCGGTACCAGCGACTAGGACTGGGCCGGCGACCCAGAGTCTAGGAAGAGCTCCAGTGCGGGCACGGTATCATGGGAAGGTTGTTTTATCTCTAATGTCCCCCGCACACAAAAAGGTTGGAGCAATGCCATCACCAACAGCAGAGTTTTACGCATCGTGCACACTGGGAGGAGACGCGTTGCATATCTCCTCCATCCTCGCGGACCTAGGGTGCCCCGTCGAAAACGTCATCGAGACCGACAGCAGCTCTGGGAAGTCCATCGCACTGCGCCGTGGGCTCGGCGCTTGGACGTTCTTGTTCTATGACTGCAACAAGTGGTAGCCTCGCGTGCGGTCCAAACCGAATGGATTCCACGCGCCGAGAACAGGGCAGACGTTGGCACGAAGCTGCTGGACGCGAGGGCCCTTCGGCGCCATCTTCAAAGTCTGGGCACGCGCCGGTATAAAAAGTCATCGAGCTCCTGGGCATAGAGGGCGGCGACGCCGCGAGGGCGAGAACGAGGTTGTTTTGGTGAGAGAGGAGGAGAACTACATTCTTTGAGAAACGCACTGACATGTGTAATATTCGGAAGTAAACGTTCCATCGCTTGTATGTTGCCTGTTTCAAGCCTGGCAGGCGATGGGGGCGCCGACCCAACATCAATGAACCCAATCACTGCGACCAGCGTCGACATCTTCTACGCATTCATCCTGTTCGCCCTCCTGACAGGTGTGACGGGCATTCGTGGATGTGGCCGGCCGCAGACGGCGGGCCATTCGAGCTCAACCCAAGGTCCGTCACGACACTCCGCTACAGATGCCACGTCGGATCAGCAGGCTTACGTCGACGCTCCAACTTCGGTGGACCAGAGGCCGCAGGGGGTAGCGAGATAGTTCGATACGGAGGATTTCAACCAGTTCGTCTACATCAAGTTTGAATGCGGCAAAGTGCACGGCCTGAGAGCCACATGCTGTTCTACCAATAGTTTCAGCACGCTGCGGCACCTCCGCATTTCCGAGCTTTGTCACCACGATGGCTGAATGGAATTGCTTGTTGAATCTCATGACGGCAGATTGATATCTGCATCGCGTAAATCAGTCAATCCTTCCATGAGTAGCCTCCGCAGTAATGAAGATTCCAATTCCCTTGACCGCGATGTTGGGGTGTCAGGAAGTTGCCCAAACATCAATGTTGGTGATGATTAGTGAGACCTTCGTACTGTATCAGGGCAAACAGGGTAGATGACATGTAGAGGGTAGAGACACCCAGTTCCCATCGAGACGCGCTTTCAATCTCCTAGAGAATACACAATCCCACGAAGTGGGAGAGATGAACGGGGACACAGTGTAGAGTTAGCGATTCCCGACAAGCAATGCAGTAGATATGTATTTGTCCCACGAAGTGGGATAGCATGCCCCCCCGAGTTTAACTAGAGCGAGATATTTCTGTGGCTTTGTGCTCGAGCCGTCCGAGAACAATACATCAATCAGATAATGTCCGCCCACCCCACCCGCCTGTGAGGGCCCGCCTGTCACCAAGCCGGTCGGGCCCGCCATATCGAATGTTGGTAACCTACTTGCCCGCTTCCATATCCCGCTTGCCCGACACGCCCGTAGAGGCCCGCCAACCCGACACGCTGGTCAGGGTCCGCTCGCCCAACGCGCTAGTCTCACCCCGTCGGAGTTTACCCAAAGGCTGGCGTGGAACAGTGAAGCCACGCCAAAGAGAGCACGTTCGTAAACGAAGAGGGCGGGACGAGGTTTCGGGCACACATGTTGAATCAGACGCGGACAGTGACGAGCGACCAGTCATACGATGATCGTTGTTGTTGTTGTTGTTGTTGTTGTTGTTGATGTTTCTGCTGGTGTGCGTTGGCATGTGTAGATTTTCACGGCGGTGCTGTAACGTGCTTTTGTGGGGGGAGGGGGGAGGTTGTGACAATTCTTCTGGGGTGCACCAAGGGGGCGGGGTCGTGCCAGTTTCGTCTGCTCTGTGTACGCCGGAGCCCTGCTCGGTGCTATTGCGGGCCCTCCTGGGGGGCGGGCACGTGCGATACCAAACTGGCGCACTGCTCTTGCCGAGGCGGAGCCTCAGCGGGGCTCCAAGCAGACTTCCATCTAGTAAGGAGCATCAACATGCGACAGGGGGAGGGGCCTGGGGAGTTCGAGCAAGCCCCAGGAGGTCCCAAAGAGAGGCCTCGGAGGGCCAGGACTGGAGGAAAGGCGAAACAATAGCAAGATTAGGCTTCTAACGACGAGGGATAAGCGAGGATGAACTCCCAAGATGACCCCGAGGACCCCCCGATGTGAGCTCCATGGGGAGGCTATGAGATTTCGAGACCACTCTCCAACAAAGAACGGCTCGCAGGGGTCGACAACAAAATGGTTTTACCGATCGATCTCAGGTATAGCTACCACGACGACCACGGGAGACCTCTAGTGAACTTGAACAAGTTTCCTGCCATGGGCGGGATGGTCTACCGAGCGCATCGTCTTGGGTTGACGGCAGGCTGGTATGCAAACAATTGCATATGCCCTGAGGGAAAGGAGGCGACCACGGCCGTGTACAAGAGGGACGTGGAGGCACTGGTGGCCTTCGAGTTCGACTCCCTGAAGGTGGACAGGTGCGGCTCGATGCAGGACCTGAACCTCTGGGCGAGCCTCCTCAATAAAACGGGCAGGCCGGTGATGATCGAGAACTGCCACGCGGGCCTCATCTCGGGGGCTGGCACAGGTGCCCTTGGCCCAAGGTGCCCCCCAGCTTCTCGCACCACTTTGGAGCCCCCTGGGGCCCTCTGGACCTCGTGAAGGGGGTGCTCGGGAGGCCGTGGGGGGCCTCGGAGACCCTGGGGGGGAGGAGGAGGAGGAGGAGGAGGAGGAGGAGGAGGAGGAGGAGGAGGAGGAGGAGGAGGAGGAGGAGGAGGAGGAGGAGGAGGAGGAGGAGGAGGAGGAGGAGGAGGAGGAGGAGGAGGAGGAGGAGGAGGAGGAGGAGGAGGAGGAGGAGGAGGAGGGGGGGGGGCACCCTGGGCCGGGGGCACCTCTGGCGGCACCCGCACGTGGGCCTCACCGCCCCCACCGCCACGTGGTGCCCCTGGAACTCCTTCCGGACCAGCGGGGGCACCCGGGCCCAGTACGGGAGCACGGTCGGCCGGCGTCGCCCAAGGGGGGGCGATGAGTGGGGGGAAGAGACCCAGACCCCCTCGAGTAATGAAAAAATCATGACGGAAGGTTTTTCCTACTTTTCGGCCTCTGGGGGCCCTCACCGGGCCTCGGGAGCGTCAAAAAACGACTCAGGATGCAAAGCCGGTCATGGGGAAAGGGTCGGGACCTCTGGGGGTCGACGTAATGAAAAAATCATTACGTCGGGGGTCTGGGGAGGTGCACGTCTCGGGCCGTAGAGCTTGTTCCACATGCAAATCAGGCAGTCCTCGGCCCGGTCGGGGAGCGAGGGAGGGGCAGGAGGAGGTAAGAGGAGACGCAGCACGAGGAGGCAGGGAGAGGAGGAAGGAGGGAGAGGAGGAGGAGGAGGAGGAGGAGGAGGAGGAGGAGGAGGAGGAGGAGGAGGAGGAGGAGGAGGAGGAGAGGGAGGAGGCACGACGCCCGAGGTCAGCACCCTGCTGACGACGGTGGCGTGGGCCCGGGCAGGCCTGTCGCGGCCTGGCTGCTGGGCGCACCCCGACGTGCTGCAGGTCGGTGGCAAGCAGGGGCCTGGCGGCCCCGGCGACCCTGGCTTGAGCTTCAAGGATCGCATGCGATGTCTTGCCCCCGGTCCCCAGAGATCGGGTGCTCCAAAAAATTGGAGCAGTCGGTTTTGGGCCGTGTTCGGCCTCTGGGAGCCCTTACCGGGCCTCGGGAGCGTCAAAGAAGGATTCGGGACGAAAGACCGGCCCTAGGGAAGTGGTCTGGACCTCCAGGGCCCACGCATCGAAAGAATTGAAGCAGCTGGACTGTTGGGTCCCCGAGTTCCCGTCCCCCCGAAGAATTGGCCGTTGAGGAAAAGACGGAAGCCTCGGGGACAGAACTCCTGGGGGCGCCCTCCGGATCGTACATCCCCGAGTTCGGCTTCAATGTTTCTGCAATCTGAGCACAATCCAGAAACACCAGAAAGTCGGAGATTTGGGTCGCCGCGCCCCCCATTACAAGGAGGCCCGCTCGCACTTCGGCGCCTGGTGCATAGTGTCGTCGCCGCTGATCCTCTCGCACGACGTGAACAACGACTCGGTGATGGAGGAGATCTGGCCCATCATCTCCAACAAGGAGGCCATCGCTGTGAACCATGCGTGGGCAGGCCACAGCGGAAGCCCCTTCAAGCACTCGGCCACCAACATCACGCTGCCTGGCTTCGTCGACCAGACCGATGAGCCCATCATTGGCGACAGCGACGCGGCAAAGCGCCAGGAGTCGCCGCTGCCGAGCTGGCACTTCTTCCACAAGCCGCTGGGCTCGGGGAGGGTCGCGGTCCTGCTGATGAGCCACACGGAGGAGGAGCAGTCCCTGACGGTGTCCTTCGCCGAGGTGCCCGGCCTGTCCTGCTCCCGCTGCATCGTGCGCGACGTTTGGCAGCGCAGGGACCTTGGCGTGCACATCGAACGGTACGCGGCCAAAGGCCTCACGGGCCGCGACTCCGCGTTCCTGATCCTGTCGCCAGAGCCCCGCGCCTCCCGCCAGGCCTTCGCCGAGCTCCTCCGCGGGGCGGGGAAGCTCAGGGTCTGAACGTGCAGCGCGGCTCGACCTGTGCTGCTGCGCCTGGCTCCACCAGGCACGTCGTGGCACCACGGCTTGCCAGCCCGCTGCAGCGCCAGGCACAGATGCACGGAGCTGGTCGGGCGGCGTTGGAGCCGTTGGTAGGGTTGAGGGAGGTAGAGGCCCAGCGCTGGACAGGGCAAATTATTCATGGAATTCATGGCCAGCATGCAGCAGGGTGTTTGGCCTCGCCGTGGACGCATGCAGATTGGCCACCCCCTACATGTTACCCAACACGCTTTAAAAGCCCCTCCTGGGCATGAGCAAGAAATTGCTCCGCTTCGTGCTGTAAAGTTGTACGTGGTCGGTGAAGACCTGCCTGGAGCCTGCTTGGGGTTCCATGGCATCGTGGGTGGTGACAGAAACATGGGGGCGCTAGATGGCGCTGGTTCATTAAAGTGGTTGTCCTTCCCTCTTTGCCCCTCCTCTCTCTCTCTCTCTCTCTCCCCCCCTCCCTCTACCTCACGTTTTCCCTCTCTCTCTATGTGTATCTCTTTCTCTCTCTCTTCTTTCCCGTCGCCTCTTTCTCTACATCTACACAAACTGTGTATGTCTACTTTTACAGTTACATCGACAGCCTATCGATATACACTCTGATATCTCTATGTATCTCTATGTGCCGATCTCGCTCTGTATGCCGTCGATGTTTTCCTCTGTCTATGCTTTGTGTGCTGTGTATGTGTATGTGTGTGTGTGTGTGTTTGCACGTCTGTGTTGGTGTGTCTGTGTGCGTGTGTGTGTGTGTGTTTGTTTGTGTGTGTGTGTCACGCCGTGGATGCCTCTCGTTGTCAACCGAGGCGGCCTATACGTTTACTAGGAAGTCCCCGGTACTTCCCCATACCTCCTCCGCCTTCTTCGTCTCCCCCTCGATGAGGCTCGCGAAGGCTTCCGTTCGGGTGCCGTCCACGCTGGCGGGTCGACGCACGCGCGAGTGTATTTGTTTGTCGTATTGTCTTCTTGTCTCCTCTGTTCCTGCCTGCCTCAACCCAGGCTGATCTTGGCAGCAAGGTTGCCCGCTCGATCTCTCATGTCGTGCACATAGCCTTTTGCACAGAGCTGGATCTTCCCCCCCTCGCCCTCCTGATGAGGAAGAGGTCTCCGAGGGGTCCGGGAGGCCTCCGGCGGCCCCCAGACACTCCCCGCATATTCAAGAGGGGAGAAACTGCTCCAATGTTTTTGATCCTCGTAAACCCCCTTCCCCCCTAATTTTGTCTCCTCATCCCTCCTCATCCTCCTCCTCCTCCGCCTCCGCCTCCACCTCATCATCGGCATCGCCCTCCTCCTCCTTCTCCTCCTCATGACAACCATCATCGTTGTCATCATCATTCTCATCATCAGCATAATCATCATCATGATTATCATCATCGTCGTCATCGTCATCATCATCACCACACCAGTATCATCATAATCATCAGCCGCATCAGCAGCAACAGCATCATCAGCATACTCATCATCATCATCATCATCATCATCATCATCATCATCATCATCATCATCATCATCATCATCATCATCATCATCGTCAGCATCATCATCATCATTATCAGCATCATCATCAGCATCATCATCACAACTGTCACTATCATTATCATCAACGCTATCATCAGCATCATCATCATATTCAATCGTGATATTCGTTTTCATAGTCTTCATCATCATCCTCATCATCTCCCGTCCCTCATCCCTCATCGTCCCTCGCCTCCTCCTTGTCTCTGAACGTGTTGGTTATATCAGTCCTGCCACGAGCCAGCGTGGGCCGAGCAAGTCCTCGAGGCACCCGCGGTCCCCCGGGGTGCTCTCGGTAAGTCCTCAAGACCGCCGGCCGCGCAGCTGCTCTCGAGACGAAACGTACAGCTGGTACGAGTCGCAGGGCCCGGCGCCGGCGGAGAGCGGGAGCGCATCGTCCTCGGGCGGGGGTGCTCCACCGCCGAGGAGGAGGAGGAGGAGGAGGAGGAGGAGGAGGAGGAGGAGGAAGAGGACGAGGAGGAGGAGGAGGAGGAGGAGGAGGAGGAGGAGGGCTGCCTTCCTCTTCCGCGTATCCTCGTCGTCCACAGCTTGGCGTTGCCTCGACCGCGACGAGTCGATCCTGCAGCTGCGGACCACAGGAAAGTGTTGTCCCCCCCTCCTTCGTGTCGATCGATCCGACTCGATGTCGAGTTCACCCAGCTCGATCCGATTCGATGTCGGCACGGTTGGACCGAGGTGTCAGATCGAGGTCGGTTCGGGGAGGGTGCCCGTCTGTTCATCGTGTTTGTTTGGTGTTCTTTTGCATCCTGGGGGAGGGTGCTCTCGAATGTTGTTTGCTTTGACCATGTTCTTGAGGGATGCTCTTGTCGTAGGTCCAGCCGTGTTCTGACGTTCCGATGTGGCCCGGTCATCGCACGGCGTTGTTGCACGTCTTTGCGAAGCCGATCCGACTCCATCCCGACTGGGTTCCGATGCAGCCCGATCTGACGCGTATTCCGGTTTTGATCGGATTTCCCGATTCGGTGTTGATTGGTGTTCTTTTTTCCCTCTCCTCCTCCTCCTCCTTCTCCTCCTCCTTCTCCTCCTCCTCCTCCTCATCCTCCTCCTCCTCCTCCCCCTGCTGCCACTGCTGCTCCTCCTCCTCCTCCTCTTCCTCCTCCTCTTTCTCTCATCTTCCCTCCCTCCTCCTCCACCTCCCTCCTCCTCCTCCTCCTCCTCCTCCTTCTCCTCCTCCTCCTCCTCTCCGTGGGCGGCGGGGACAGAACGGCGTAACATCTCTGTCTTTCAAGTTTGCGTTCAGTCACCGCTTTGATAAGCGTGCCATATAGGCCACCTATTCATCCACCCTCCTCCTCCTCCTCCTCCACCTCCTCCCTCCTCCTCGTCCTCATCATCATTCCTCCTTCACGTGCGCATCAGCATCACCATCACCATCACCATCACCGTCATCATCATCATCATCATCAGCAGCAGCATCAGCAGCATCAGCATCAGCATCATCAGCAGCATCATCATACTCATAATCAGCATCGTCATCATCATCATCATGATCAGCATCGTCATCATCAGCAGCATTAGCATCATAATCATCATCATTGCCATCATAATCATCATCTGGTCACCATCATCGTCATCATCTTCATCTCCTCGTAGCCATCATCACCATCATCCTGTTCCTCCTCCGCCTACTCCTCCTGCTCCTGCTCCTCCTCGTCATCATCATCACCACCATATCATCAGGATCATCATCATCAGCAGCAGCATCAGCATCATCATCGTCGTCATCAGCGCATCCATCATCCTCATGCCATAGTCGCCATCCTCACCGACATCCTGCTCCTCCTCCTCGTCATCATCACCACCACCATCATCATCGTCATAATCATCAGCACCATCTTTATCATCATCATCATCATCATCGTCATCATCATCACCACCACCATCACCATCACCATCATCATCAGCATCAGCAGCAGCATCATCCCCATCCCCATCCCCATCCCCATCTCCATCTCCATCTCCATCTCCTCCCCCTCCCCCCTCCTCCCTCTCCTCCCTTCTCCCCCGCCACCCCTCGTCTCGCCCCCCCCGAAGATGGACGCGGCGGCCTCCGGCCGCTGCGGCGACCTCGCGGGCACGCTGGCCGCGGTGGCCGCGGAGCTCGAGGCGCCTCCGGGCCGCGCCGGCGCCGGACCCGGCGGCCCGAGGCCACGGCGATCTCAGGCCTCAAGCGGCGCCGAGGAGCGCCTCCGAGCGCCAGCGGGCGCACGGCCGCCCCCTCGGCGGGGCGCTCGCGCGCCCCGCGCCCGCGCCCGCGAGCACAGCGCCCGCGCTCGCGCAGTGCGCGGCGTGCCCGAGGGGCGCGCGCCGAGGGGCGCGCGCCGAGGGGCGGAGCCTCGGCCCCGCCCGTCACGGAGTGTTCTGAGCAGCGCTTGTGGTCTCCCCGAGGTGTTCTCTTGGAGCACTTCTGGCCGGGGCCGTCTTGTGTTCACGCCTCGGGCTCGTGTTCCGAGAGCGGTGCTCTTGCTCTCAGAACGCGCTCGGGTTCTAGGAGCCTGTCGTGGCAGGCCTGTAGGGATGCCGGGGCGGCCGGTCCCTGCTCCAGCAGGTGGGTGTCGGCGCTTCGCGGGTGCCCACCAGCCCAGCCAGAGACGATGACCGGGAGAGTTGAGGTGATCAGGGAAGTGTCGGAGCAAGAGAGGGGGGCGGCTGTTATCCTTCAAGAGAGGAGGGAAGGGAGGAGGAGGAGGAGGAGGAGGAGGAGGAGGAGGAGGAGGAGGGAGGAGGAGGAGGAGGAGGGAGGAGGAGGAGGGGGAGGGGGAGGGGGAGGAGGAGGAGAGGAGGGGGGGGAGCTGAGGAGGAGGAGGGGGAGGAGGAGGAGCAGGAGCACGACGACGACGAGGAGGAGGAGGGAGAAGGAGAGGGAGTAGGCAGACGAGAAGGAGGAGGAGGGCGAGCAGAAGGCCAGAGGCCTCTTGGATGCCTCTCGGAGCCTCTTGGGATGTCTCTTGGGGGGTTCCTGGGAGGCCTCTTGGGGCGTCTTGGGGGCCGCTTGGGCGCCTCCTGGGGGCCTCCTGGGGGCCTCTTGGGGGCCTCTTGGGGGCCTATTGGGGCTCCCTAGGGAGCTCTCATGGCCCTCTTCAGGCCATCTGGGAGGAGGTCGCTCGAAGATGGTCGGAGCTTGAATTAGCGGCGCCCCTCTGGAGCCCCCAAAATTGCCTCCTGGGGCCGGTCGCGGCGCTCTTGGCCGCTCTTGGGGCCGTCTTGGGGCCCTCTTGTGCCTCTCTTGGGGCCCTGTTGGACCATCGTGGATCCATCTTGACACCTCGGAAAGCCATCAGAAGCGAAAGCAAAAAGCATTGATTGTCTTTAGGTACTGGGAGGAGTTTGCTCTCTTGGGGGTGCTCCGAGGCCACTTGGAGCCGCCTTGGGGCGGACTTGGAGCCTCTTGGATCACGTTGGAGGCTATCTTGAGCTGTCTTGAATTATCGTGAGCCTTCTTGGAGGTCATCTTGGGCTCTCTGAGGCCCTCTTGGAGCCATCTTGGGCCATCTTGGACGCTCCAATCGGTCGCAGGACGCCCCGTCCAGGTCGAGGAAGATGGAATAGAAAACATCCT